AAATGAACGAAGACGAGAAAGAACGCACAATGGTGAAACAGTGATAAATTCAAACACTGCTCTCCAGCTGAATATATCTAGTAACCTAAACCTGAATAAACATTGTTCGGGTACTTTCATCAAATACAGGAACAGCGTTTTCATGTGTTATAAATAAAAAAAACGCATCACAGAATATCTGAGAAGCTAATGTAGATTAGTTATGATCGATGACTAGCTTGTTTTTATCTATATTGACTACTCTGTGTGATAATCTTGCTGAATAATTGGTTTGTGTGAGCAAAAGTGAACTTCAGTTCAATAATCTCAATCAACTCAACAAGAGTAGGCAAACGTTGATGACGTTTTCCGATTTGTTGAATGGTTGTTCAATAGTGAATAAGTGTAAGTACGTCAGTTTTCGAAACGAAAGCCGTTCAACAACTTCAGACAGTTTTTCGGATCCGAATATCACTTCAATAACATCGCGTACACTCTGCAGAAAGTTTTGAGTATGAGACTTGTCAAAGCAGTGCTGTCATTTCAAACTGATCAGTTTTTTGTCTACGCTATGTCAGGATTGCGATAATCATGAGGTTATGTGTAGTACTGGAGTTGTTCTAACAGATTATGCAAGACTACATATGTAAGATTATATAAAATAACTTCCTTGGACACAAGCATATTCTTGCATTGTGATATGTCGCAGACACTGGAAGAGAACCGATGGATTTTTCACAGAAAATTTTGGAATTTCAGAAGCACTGGAAAAGCTCATACAGTGATCATCTTCCGGTGCATTATTTCGTTTCGATGAATATTTTCGACGCACAAAGAGTTGATAAAAGCTCGGAGGTTCAAGCAATAAGCTTTAAATGTATTTTTGTTCAGTGGCGACGTAATACCATCTCATATGTTTGAAGGAAAACTGCTTGACATTTGCTGCATATCAGAACACATGAAAAAAGTGATTTGAAGATTTTCTTCAAAACATTTCAGAAACAATTACAACTTCACCAAGTTCATCACAACAGAATACAGTAGAGTCGACTGCATAATGTCTGAATTGGCTTATTGTAACTTCATTCGCTCGTTTGATTGTATTTCTCCACAGGATAAAATCTGAGGTGTTTTAATGCGACAAGTAATGTATTATTTGGAGGTTACATTATTCGTGTTTATTATAATCGCAATAATTAGATAAATGTACTTGTCTCAATCGTAAGGGAATTTTTAATGGCTAGCTAATATCACTAATGAATGATGTGTTATGACAGAACGGATTTGTATCATCCACGTTGTTGATTGAACTCTGCATTTCGCGAATACAGAACTGGATTTCTCGATTATTAAGACTGTCTGAGGTACATCATGCAAATTCATTTGATGAACAACACCGCTAGCAATAAGAGAAATAAACAATACTATTAACTATCGTAGTGCTCTCCTAATAATGATTAAGAAGATGAAAAAATTATACCGGGATCAGGAACGACTCCTTAATCATGTTGAATGTTTGCTCTAGATTCCGCACATTCCTCGAAATATTGATACGTTCAAGAATTCGCTTCCTACAATGCCAGTTCTGAACTGTGATCTCTTTTTCACTTCACCGTCAACAGTTCCAAAGGTTTTTTGTTACCTGATCAATGATAATACAAACGACAACAATAACTAATGATGAGGATATTATGATCACGAAGTTATGCCCGCATTTGAATTCAGTTGTTTCGCAACATTCCGTCTGGTTTGATGATCACTTCTATCACACACTCAGTTTGAGATTGACCTTTAAACCTTGTGTGATTGCAATTTCATTGAGAATCTCTGCAACGTGCCTGCCACATGTTTCGGGACACAAGTACCAAACAAACACGACGAAAAGCGTTGTCGGAACCGCGAATAACAACATCGATGGACCACCAATCTCAACAGTTGACGAATATCATTGATATGATCACGAAATGATTATTACATGCCATAAAATTAGTTAGAATATTTACAAAAAAGCCTCATCTTTGTGTTCCTGATAGTTTTCGCTATTATGGTTATTACTATGAATTTTATTCGAGCACTATTTTCAATTGAACTTTCAAAAGCTCCGAATAATCGGGTCATGCGATAAACGCAGGATTGGTTCAGATAACTGAATGGGCATGGTGAATTATTCATCCAATAAACAATGCCTTTTGACTGATCAGAAACAATTATTCATCATGATCATTCTATCGAAAAGTACTTAAAAGGAACAATATTAGCAGTCGATTATTTTTTAGCAAAAAATGAACGAAAATTGAAATGATTACAATATTGGCGATTGGATAAAATGTGAATTCGACGGCAATCTTCATAATGCCTTCGAAAATTGTTAATATGGCAACCGAATTGAGCAACAGATATCGCGGTACAAGTTCTGCTGAATAGAAGCGTGAAACTGAGCCCAGTCCACAAGCGTTCACCATTAACAACGTGCACAAACTTAGCAAAACACCGATCTGAACAAAATACGTCGTCTCATAGAGTGAATTAAGCAATTTATGAAGCATTTTTTGCACGTAATGAAAGCGTTTGCAACATGAAATGTGCATGTGATGTGATGAGAAGATGGAATTAATGTTTTAATGGCAGAGATGGCAATGAATCGAGAAGCGTTTTGGATATGGCATAAGTGTTGTTCACTGCCATTTTTTGCTTGGGAAACATTTATCAGCATTATGGAAGTGTTCACTATTTGTCAACAAATGTAGATGAAAGAAAAAAATGAGCTAGCAGCCGACGAAATTATTGCAACTGAATTTTTTTTTACCTTGCCGTTGTCGCCCATTTCGATGAAAAACATGATTGCAATTTGAGTGATAAGTGAAATGACCATTGAAATTACGATTAGCGGACGTCGGCCAACGTTGTCCACCAGAAGCACTGGTATAAGGGTGAAAGGCACACGTAAAAGGCCGATTGCGAATGAACCATACAGTGCAGCTGATAATGTCCAATGGCCGAGATAATGGAGCACAAAAGTGCTATATGCCCTTAGGCAACGTGCACCTGTGAAAACGTATGCAACCTGAACGATAAAATGAATCGTTTTGGCATTCTGCTTGCAACTTTTTTGTTGTAATTCTTTCATTAGCATTTGATTGAAATCGATTGGTTTCATTTTTTGAGCGTTTAATTATTGCAATTATTTTTTAGTTTAACTTTTTTTGAAATTTTCTTTAGTCGTTTAAACGAATTTTGGCGCAATTTTCACTATTTGATTTATATGCAAAGTATTGCGAACTCTTAATTGATAATCAATTAGTGACTGATAAGTTTGAAATGAGCAAAAAATGGAGCAATGAGATGTGCATTACATAACTCATTTTAATAACAGATTCATTTGACACACCTTAACCATAACACCAATCCATGCACCATAACGAATCACTCTTGATAACGGATCTGTTGCTTTGAAAATGTTAAACATAACCGTTATACCGTCATGTTCACATTCTACTCGCATCTCGTCATCATCCGATTTCTTATGATTTTTATTTCCTGTCGTTCCTTTTTTAATCACTGAACTTTCTTCGCATAATTTCAATTCGGCATCAATAGCTGCACTGCTGCACTCTTGGCCATGATAAAATGCAAGTGCATTTCGGGCCTTCAAATAATCCACACGACAGTGATCACTGACAATATATGGCACAAACTAGCAATAACAGTTACAATTACAATAACCTACCGTAATCGTATTCTTCCGCATAGTTAAAATGCTTAAAAGTCAGACTTCAAACGTTTGCTCTAAGTACACCACTAGCATTCCATCAGAGGTCACTAAGCTATTTGGCTTCAGATAAGTTGGATGCCAGTGCAATGATGCTTCCTTCAATTTTGTTCTAGCTGGGAAAGGATATAGTTGATATTTATTCGCATAAAAATATGTGAAGCTATGTTCTGTGCAGGTGATTATAATATAGTAAGTGTACTGACTCGACTGGTGCTAAGAAGAGGATAAGGTTGAAAAAAGAGGAAAAAATCAAATTTTATTCAATACTGAGTCAATAAAATAGGAATGAGTGAAACGAGGCGGGTGAAGTGACTTCTTTCAGTTTCATACCTTCCCTTGTCAAATAGTTAACGAGATTTTAACAAGAATATAAAGCCGACTTCATTTGGTGGAATAATTTGAGTGTGCGCTTGAATATTTGGAGCATTTGTAAGGAGACAATAGTCTAGGAGAGTAGATTCTAGGCTCTAGGAGTTTAATTTGTTACTTTGACAGCGAATTTAAGGGAATTATTTTGGCGGACTCGTTTAATGCTTGCGAAAAATTCGGAAAATTCTTCAATTGGGAGATCAGTGTAGCGTTGTAGTGCCTTCAAAGATCACTATAGAATCTTTGTTGTTCTAAAATTTCGAAACCTAATGTTGATAATTTCTCGTAATATTCGGATACGTTACTGTATGTTAGCACATTGCCTCTTCAAGACGGAACATGTGTATCTTCTTTGAACTGTTTTAACGACATTAACATAGCAGTTATCACCGCATTGATCAGGAAAGGGCCAACGAGAAGAGATATATTCTAGGATGGGGGAGTTCTTTGCTTAGTATGGATAAGGTAATGAAGTTGAATGTTCTTCATGTGAGTGATGCTCTCACATCAGCTTTTTTAGCCATATTGGAAACGTGATGATGAAATTTCAGACTTGAGTTGCTTGTGTCGCCTTGAATCAGGAGGGGGCTAATTCTTCGTTCTGGGTGTAAAGAAGGTTATTAGGAATGTTCTTACCAATTCTAACCAATTTCGTTTGTTCCGGAGCTATCGGTAACAACCGATTCGATGATTAATGGTTTGTGAAATTGAATATAGTTTGCATAGTACTGGAGAGCGTGAAGACGCAATGTGGGAGACATTTAGTAAGAATAAAAAAGTCAAGGGAACATGCTACTGTTGGTTTACTCTGATGAACTGAACGAATCAGTAACTTGTACTGAATGATAACGGTTCATAAGAAAGTCTCGCATTCAAGTGGACAGATAACTTCCTATGATTGTAACTCTATGTACAATTTAGGTATGGATACCGAATGAAACGTTTTTTTTAGAAATGTTGTGTCGGTGTAGCCTTTGTAGTCTAAATAAAAGAAACAATGTTGCTAGGATCAAAACAGAACTGCAATAATTGATCTCCTATCTAGAAAAGCACATTGAAAACTGGAAAAGAGCTCATTTATTGACGCTGCACTCGTCACCATCAAATCACTCACCATGATGACATTATTGAAGTTATCACTGTTATCATTATCATCATTATCGATTAAGGATAATAATAATGATCAGATTACTATCATTGCAACTCTCACTATCATTATTATCTTTCTATATCGTCGTTTCTGCCATTACTATTACCGTTTTTTGGTTGTTTACTCCAATTAAATGTGCTTTAGCAACTTTCCAGAATTGATTTTAGAATATGATACATTTAGTCACACATAAGAAAAAGATACTGAAAATGAAGCGAATCGACGAGTGCTCTGATGGAATGATCAGGACTGACTAAGTGATCAGTTTTGCAGAATGATAGGCGTTCTTCTCATCTTTGAAGTAAATGAAGAAGTTTTCGAAATATCAGAAACAACGATGGTAAAATTTTGTTACAAAATTAACCTTTTCTAAGTCATGCTCTGTAGTGACGATATACTGTGGTGATTCCCATGTGAAGCAAAACAGAACGGTTGTAAAAATTGCAATTAAAACTGGTGGCATAAAAATGTATGGCCAATAGTGATCATTTGAGAAGGGTACACCAACCGTTTGACACAAAAGACTGCCTAAAACAACATTGCATTAAACGATTTCGTTTTGCAGTGATCATGAAATAAAATCAAATTCTTTATGTAAATGCTAAGCGAGAGACTGTTTGTTCAATTGATTACTGAACCAATCTATCTACATAAACACCAAACGAACGATGCACTCATAACAAGCACAAACCAGTCGCCATGAAAACCTCTTGAAGTGCAGCCATCCGACCGCGATGTTTCGCCGGTGCACACTCGATAATCCAAACGGTTGCGTTGACTGCATTTATGCCGTTCGCTAATGACCTACATCACTTTTACATTTTGTCAAGAACACAAAACACAATCGCCAATAATGCAAGTAATTAGATAAATGAGCTTTTCGGGCGTTTTCGTAATGGAAGATGATAAAAACGATTGGTTTCCATAATAATTGCTTGCCAATGCCTCAAATAAACGAACGATCAACAATTGAGTTTAGTTGCTTCTCAAAGATCAATTCCATTGCACAATCGTTTTTTTTTTTGCCAGAGTTTATTTTTTGGTTGCAATATTCGATAATGTGTTTAGAAATATGAACTCTACCAAATAAACCGTCCGATAAATAGGAATTCAAAGTAAGGATAACAATATTTCGTTGAAAAAGATAATAATCCGCCGGGTACGTAAAGAAACGTTGCTAATATAGCAGTCTTTTTGCGTCCAATACGATTACACAACAAAGCAGCTAAAAATTGACCAATTATTGTGGCCACCGGGAATAGAATATTTAGTGCAGACCAAAGAACATTCTGCAATATGTTTCATTATTATTATTATGATTACCTGGGTCACCTGGATTGGTCAGGCTATCAAACGCTACAAACGTTTATAACGTTTGATAGCCTGACCAAATATCAAACGTTACAAATGTTTGACCCTGATCATAGCTACTGATCATAGCCATCACTATAATTATTGGTATATACTATTACTATAATTATTAAAATAATGACTTTTGTGGTAATTATTGGTACCGTCGCTACAGTTATTTTTTGTTACTTTTTTATTCTGTTCCTCGATTCCATCTGGATTATCATGATTATCACGGTTATTAAGATTACTGCTATCATAATTAAGCAATTAGTTTTGCGATCATCAACTGTTTAGGATTTTCTTTACTTAACTATATCAATAGCTCCTACCAGTGTCATTGGTAAGATAATTTCCGAAATTTGAAAGCCGAAAAAGAGCACAACCAAAATTTTATAGAAAAAGAAATTCACCAAAGCGTGAACGGCAATAGGATGATTGTTTCTTTCAATCCACGATTCATTAATAAAACTTCCAATTGCAATATAGGGTTGATTTAGTACTGTAGCTATATATCCTTGTTGAAATCCACTTGATAGGCATAACGCTAACGTCAGCACACATATTGCTTGTGAAACCATTTACTTTTTACGGGAGGATCTTTTTTTCTCAATTTTTAGGCCAGAACGGGATATGCTGAAACTATTGATAGACTCAGTTACATGAGACATGACGCAAACACCTCTAGCACATTAGAGCAATAATTGCATGTACGAGAAATGAAACGAAAACAGGTCACTATTGATCATAGCACTAATTTGCTATGATTCTAGCTAGCAACAGCTAACATTTCGAATCTAGACAATATTCGGAAATCGACACTCATATTGACGACAACATGAGCAGTAATTTGATGAATATGCGACGTGAAATTTGCTGGTACAGTCGTTAGCAAATCGTAAACTGACGGTGAATGGAATGCTTTTAGATGGGCGGTATTCCACGATCGTTTCCAATAGAACGATGAGCTGTTACCTTACGCAAGTGTCCTTGAATTCCATGGACATCTGTTATAGATTTGTACATGCAAATAGAGAAGAAAATTATGTTGGCTTCAGATTTATATTCGCATATTGTATGTGTTCAGACACTGACGACATAGATACACGAAATTTTTTAATGCGACGAAAAGAGTGAATATGAACAGTGAACAGTGAAAAGTATGAAGAGATTTGTAGAAGTCAATCATTTGGATTTTTGATTCATATTTTGCTATCAATGAACGTAATGAAGTTCAAAATTCGCTTTTGAATCACTTCAAATCGATAATCATAACAGTGATTAAAATGATAGCAATATATGGTAAAAATGATCTCGCTCGATGGAAAAGTGATACCAACAGTATTATCGCAGTTTATAACATTGCTGTTGTTATTATAATGACTCATGCTGTTATTGTGATTATCATGAGACAGTGCTTTCGGATAAGTAGCCCATTCTCTGTTCTTTTTTCCATCATATTTTGCACTTTAATCCTTCAGTTGATTAGGACATGGCTGGCATTTGTTTTCACAAGCCTACAATATTCATCGTGAATGCTCATGATTTGACAGAATAATATTTATATTGGTATGTTGTATATGTTTGATTAATTCGGTTCAGAATAAGCATCATAATGCATCAGCTGCCACTATTCAATGACTCAGTAATTCATTACGGTTGAATTGATGCATAGAAAAATGATCGTCCTTCAATCTGATTGGTATCTTTTTTGGTCTTTCAATGGATTTTATGTGATCATTCACCAAAATAATTAATTTTCAAAAAATTTGCGCAGCTGTCATACGAGTCCGATTCTTAGAAATGACAGTTGATTGCATAACCACTCTTTAGTTAACAGGTTGTTGCCATAAAACGTGCTGAATTAGCGCCACACAGCACCACTGCAATATGAGAGGAGCGTAAATTTTGAGACCTTAACTATCCGGCCATGTTATAAAACCAGGTTTTGGAATGAGCTCTTTGGTAACGTTTTAAAAGGTGAGAAACCGGGCCGCCACAAAATATCACACCTGAAAGAAGACTCCAACATCCATTTCTCAGTGAGCGGTACATCTCAAGGGAATGATTTTTCAGATTATTTCGAGATTTTTGCAACTTTAAGCTCACATTTGAAAAGATCATCAGTCATATTCTGACAAGTGTGTTCGTGAAAATCTGTGTTGGTATCGTGAAGCATCTGAGTTTTGAGCAGCCGTAGGATTTCGTTCGTTCTTGAGATCGCTCTTTCCAGACTAGGTACAGGCTTAAGTTCAAGTAGCAATCGCCTAATGTTTTGGTAATGTTGAATAGGCACTATTCTAAGCTATTAGAAGGGAACGAATGCCTTTGATTACAAAATTTCCGAGAGCAAACTGCTTTCATGGAGTTATTTTACATGACTAGACGATTTCATTATGCCGCTTATCTCTATCTGTTTTCTCTCAGCTTATCAAATGAAGTGAGCTAATTCAATTAGCAAACTCTGAAAATTTCCCGAATAAGCAGTTCCGAAAAACTCACGAGACGCCACCGAAAACCTGGACGCATTGAAACAATGTACAGGATTTCCTGAATGATACAAAATTAGGCGGTCGAATTTTGTTCAAGTATGATGAGGATATGAGGGTGATTCGAACATGCGATAAAGCCAATCAATTCTGATGAGCCGTCAATGAGCGAGAATGAATTTAAGAATACCCACTTTTTTATGAAATCGATTTGATCTGAGCAAATATACATTCACTGCCCTTTTCTTAACATCTACATGGAAAAATATCATCACGAGATTTTTGTCTCGCGAAAACAATTGAACATTTTTTTTTTAACTGAGAAGAAACGTGGGAGCATCTAAATTTTCAAAATGAAGTTCAGCATTACAATATCTTTCGATTGACTATTGCGAAATTTTTATCAGCAAAATAAAGTGCATATTAAGTGCGTAATTGTTACTTATTAGAACAAGTCAAATTAGCGACTGACAGCTTGACATCTCAGGAAACAACTGTCCGATAGTACGCAGTGTTGATTGACGCTTTTCGTTTTTACATCAGAAATAAAAACGCAGTAACGAATGATACACTTGTGTTCATACGTCGTGCATAAATTATGATGCTGTAAGCATAGCAAAGTCAAGTAACAATTCAAGCATAAACTTTCACTCTTAAACGACATCTATCATAATTGTAGCTCCTTTTATATTGCATCATATGTATATGCTTATAAAGTCGACATTATTTGTCGATTAACTCGCTTAGCCATCAGAGATTCATTCGCTTAAGGCTAACTGAGTTGTTCAATCTAGAAACCAATTGACGTAATTCAAACGCTTCAATTTCATTTCACGATACTTCCATTTTTCCTATATAATGTCCTCATTTGCAAAGTATCTTCGTCGTATTTTTTCAAATTCGTGCCAAGTAATATGAGCTGAAACAATATTTCCAGTATTCATATAACGTCATGTATAGATGAATTTCATTTTTAATGTACTTTCAATAGTTTTAATCAGAAGTGGGCAATAGCGCGCCATTCGCTATTTTGCTAGTAGTGGAGCAACATTTTTTCGATGGTACGATAGCACGTTGCTTTTTCAAATAACGGATATTTGTAGTGATAACATTCGCTAAAATAAATTTTAACGGCATGAAGTAGCGGGAATATGCGCTACTTTCTTTGGTTAGCACTGTAATGAGCTACTTTTTCTGGAGAATTCTGCTGACTGGTCACTTTTCGTCTGCAAACGAACGTTTATTTTTCTCAACACCAAGATATTTAAAACACTGCATTTAAATATATTGCGATAAATTTATATTTGTAAATATAGATAAATATTTAAATAAATGTTTAACATAAGTAAATATAAATATTTATATTTACATGTTTGCGATCTAACATTGAAAAATAAGTGGTGCAATTGCTTAATTCAGACTTATCGTATTCGTACTCATCTTAACGGGTCGGAGTTGAATGTTCAATCATACCTCGACTTCATGCTATAAGTGCACCACTAGCATTCCATTTGAGCTCATTAAGCTACGTGGCTTTGAATGAGTTACCTGACAATGCAGTGGAAAACCTATGAATAATATTTATCCGAACAGTGAAATGTGTCGTATAAATGATTGCAATATGGCGAGCATATTGACCCAAATGGTTCCGGGCACGCTACTGAAAAACGATAGCGCATGCAGTTTGTCGGAACCAACGTTTGATTAAGTGAACGTTTAATTGTTTGATCGGAATCAAGTATTTTCAAGTGGAAAAAGACAATAGGGATCGTACTTGCAGAAATTTTGTTCTTTTCAGCTCACATGTTCTAATTCTGAGCTTGTAAACAAAAAACGTATAGCCGTGAGTAGCGATGAGCAATTTTCGGAGACGTAAAGCTGTGGATTTTGCTGGTCGAGCGCAATTGACGAGTACAGCTCGAGGTATAGAATTTCATTCAGTTTGTCGTTCATTTGTGAAATACAATTAATGATCGATCACATTGTGAACTTCAACAATATTAGTTGATTCATCAACTGTTCTTGAAACTTCCTCCCATAGAAAAAGAAGAAAAATCTTGATTTAATACGCCTTCATCGCAGTGATCACCTTCATTACTAGTAATATAGGATGCTAGCAATAAAGGTATTCCGTGCAATCTTGTTTATAACTATCATTCCCCAGTGAGGAAAGAAGAATCGGACAATGGAAAAGAAATGATCATTAAAATGACCTAATGCCTCAAGAAAATCGTTCCAATCTAGGCCACCGATCGTGTGTAGTTCTCACAGCGAATAACTGATCTTTCAAGGTCAATTAGAATTTGGAAATAATGATAGTTCAAGAGTGGGATCAGTTTGAAATATATGACATTCACCAATGAGATTTGTAAATTCGAACATCTTTCTGAATATGTTTCGTGTGGCATATACTCGAAATTAGTTCCTGGGGAAGAACAAGGAGACATTTCTCTGCAGTCGATGATGTGATGAAAGTAGTGAACACAAAATTAATGTTTGCTATGATGAGGCTTCGAAATTTTGTGAATTCTATTCCCTCAATCCATCTCTCATACAAATTTTGTTCTGAGGGCATTTTTGTATTGATGGCTTTAATATTTTGTAATTTAATACAAAAATTAGACGTTGACTTCATATGATTACTGAACGTTTTCTCATTGATTAATTCCCTAAAATCTTTCCTCAACAATTCAGCGAATATTTTCAGGTGAAGCAAGTAACCGTGATTTTTATCTTCGCGCTTATCGCATTGAAAATTTCCAACGCGTATGTCAGAATGTTCTTTTTAAAAAATATTATTATGTGGCATGTTGTATATTGCTGAAATGTTTTTGACAGTTGATTATTAAGAATGCAGTCAGTTGACAAGTAAGGTGCACCATCTAGACACTGACGAAAGCATTAACCTGAACATTTGTCATTTTGTTCAAATCTACATCCAATAAAGGCCAAGAATGTTTAAAAAACCTTCAGCGTTACTTTTCTTCGTGACAACATATCACATTCTCCGGCACAGTTCATCTCAAGTAATCATTAGAATCTATATTATCAAAGATTAACTGAGAAGCAGTTTTACCGTTACATTTTTCATTAAATTTCAACAGTCACACTTGCTGCATTCGGGAAGAATTTCGTTTAGTTACGCTGTTTCTACTACACTTTCATTTTTTCAACGTTTCTCATTTTATTTCGTCATTTTTGAAGTTTAGCATTTCGTTGTGGTGGTTTGTCTTGAAACGCAAATCGATTAATAACAATAGATCACTAAGAATATCGATGACCACTGTTAAGCATCTAGACGGTACTTCACTCATTCTGAACCTAGATCCAAAGTTACATCTAAAATTAAGCATCTGATGTTTCCTAAAATTTTGTTCTCAGCATTGGAATTTTTATAGTCCTAAAACCTCCACTTACTCACCATTTGTATCACGATATGAGAAGAAGATAATTTTGATTCATCTTGATAAGTTCGTAAACTTATCATTGGATCTTTCAATATCTAAATATGCCACTTC